AAACAACCACTATACAACGAAAGGAGACTGCGACCACACAAAAGGCCACACCATCTTGGTCTTCATACATGAGAATTTCTTACATTTTGTCGAATTTTTCTTAAAATATCCGTTGCTCTAGTAGCGTAATTATTTGCACATGAATTTGAGAATAAATGAGCCTACTTAGAACAATTTTATATACTCCGTTTGTTTTTTGTATTTTCAGCAGCTGCAACAAACTAATATATTGCATTAATATTTTATAACCTTGCTGTTATAAGACTTTAGCAATGGTGTTTAAACTCAAATCAGTCATCTCAGACTAGATTCTTCAAATGGGTTAAAATACTTAAGTCCCTTTTTGATTTGAGCATTTAAATTTCTTGTCTGTTTAAAGCAAAATAATTAATTTATTATTTACTTTTTGCAATTGCCTCTTCTGTAAATCCAATATCTAACCGGAGAAAAATGGATCGCGATAAGTAAAGGGGGGCAGGGGGGTTTTCGACAATAAAACGAAGATATTGTCAGTGGGTAATGTTCATTTCGAATAAATCAGTACAATCTTGGGGGCCTGGCAGTCAGGGAGCGGAGCAGATGGAGTAGCAAACCATCACGAAAATTCCATGTTATTGCCAAAATGTATCAGAAATTCACTTGAGATGCCGCATGCGACCAGAGATGATGAGCTCGTAGCTCGGTGTGGAAAGTGGAAAAACTCACTAATGATGCCGACTAAAATGCCGTCAATACGTCTGAGAAGGTACCAAGTCCACTGTCTGATGCTGGGAATCATACAACTTCTATGGCAGACGAGTTCGGACTAGATGTGTTCTACTAAGATCAAGTTGCAATAACGAGGTTTATATTTCGAAGGGCAGAATAGGAAATATCTGCAATCGTTGCTTATGCAATTTTTAAGATATTCTTTGGGTCGTTTGTCAGTATATTTGTGATTTTATACACTTTAGCTACTGAAAACGAAATTTCACTATGTTTACACTCTAGTATGCAGAAATTAGGATCTCGAGGTTATATCATCTTTTAGTATCATTATGAAAATATTAGAAAACTAAGTATTGTTAAGCTTGCACATAAGATGTCACATCACCTTATTGCATAATGTATCTATGTTGAGAAAAGCTATCGGTTTTATACTAAAGAAGTAGGTATATAAAGTTTTGTAAAATGGCTCAATTAAGTTTTTTCACTTAATAGAGCAGCAAAACTTACAATTTGCAATCTAGATAAAGAAGAAACCCAATTTTCTTCAATTTTTCTAAATATTTATCTATTATACTTTAGTATTAATCGTTAATAATTTGTTTTTACAAAATATACTGTAGCATATAGAGGTTGTAATAAGTGCGAAAAATAAAGGTTTACCCTATCTAATACCTTTCCAATTAGACGTTCATTCAATAAATTACATTTATATGTATTTATTCACTGATATAGTATGTGATGACTAGTTTTAGTTTATAGTCAGCTTTTTGAGAGTATCATTAGATAATATATATTAAACTTATTTATCCTATTTATGAAGGCCCTGAAAAACTAGTAGCTGAATTTTTCCACTCTTATATGAGTAAACCTTATGTTTCCATATACCTTCTTTTCCAAAATTGTATTCTAATCTAGACACGGTCGAAACTGCAGTCCACCCTGAATGAGTATACAACTTGGTAAAAGAGATCTACTATTATCAATTACCATTCTACTTGTCCACTAAAATAATAAATAATCAAATTCTTTAAATTCTATGACTAAAAATATTAACCAATAGGTAATTTTTTGGTATGAAAGATAAAATACTTTAATAATTTATGTAGGCTCCTCAGCCTAATTAATACTTGGGATTGTATTTTGATGAAGATTAGCTTAAGTTATACGTATTATAAATTCTTATTTATTGACTTTATAAATGCAAATGTTGATTACGAAATACATTTAAATTGACTAAAAAAACGCTTAATTAGACATTTATACAGCAATCCACTTTAAGTATATTTGAATTTGTCTCTCAGTAAAATTTGATGGCAACTATCAGCAATGTGACTTGTACTTTGTTTAGGCCACGTACTTTTTAACTAGGAATCGAGATGAAAATACTAAATTAGCCAGAAAAGCGGCCAAACTTTGCATAAAACCTAATTCCTAGAAGAAATAGACTTGCATGAATAAGCGATATAACCATCAAGCCACAAACTGGTAGGACGGCGTGAGCAGGAATTCGCTGGTGGCTTAATTGCGTGTTCAAATAATGTATGGATGTATTTTGGCACATTTAAATGCATTATTTATGCACAAACCATATTAAAGGAAATTTGCTGCTCAATAAAGTATATGTATGACCTTTTTTATGCGGGTAGGAGGTTTGCAGGGATTTGCCATTATGCTTTAATGATTTAAAGATTATAGTATTTTTTAAATGTTGATTGACTACGACCTTTGTTTATCAAGCCTATTTTTTTATTTGCCTCTTCGGTCGTTGTAATAGCTTAATTTCTATTTAGTCTATTTTTAAAATATCTTCTTATATGCCTAATTAAGGTCATTTGTATTAAGAATTAAACAAACCTATAAATATGAGTTAAAAATTGAAATATATAAAATATGGATTTCTTTAAAGGTAAGAGGTTTCTTTTAATTTTGCTGAGCTTTTTCAGATGTTTCCTATCCCATTTAAAGTGGTAATGAAAGGCTTAAAGTTATAGAAATAAAATATTTATGGAGCTTAATTTTTGATAAGCTGCCGAATTATTTAACTTTGGTAGATAATGATGAAAAACTGCTTAAATAAGAACATAGGACACAAGAATAATTTTAAATTTTTAATTCCTTGTAAAAGTTAACTTATTATTCCAGAGATATTGTAACAACTAATTTGTATATTCATTAAATCAAATTCAGACTAATGCTATTATCAGATTCTCCGATAGCTTAGAAAAATTCACTGTTTCTATGTATAAATAAGTTACTTTGGTCATTTTTATTTGTATCCAATTAGTATTACAAATAATTTACTGAAATGAATCCATATATAATTTTTATCTGTAGTAATAATAACAGTATAATCATTTTTCATTTATTATCCATCCATGTCATCGTTAGTTTTTGACTTTATCTGCTTTTTAGTATCTTACCATATTAAAAGCTACTTCTGAAAGACCTGGAAAAGGGGAAGAAGAGGAGGAATGGAAGCAGGTAAATACAAATTATATCTATCCGTAGCCTTCAAATCCTAAAATGTATCGAGCAAAAAGCATTTTACTTGTGTTACCCCGTTTTATGAGCTCTGTTGCTAGCTCACGATAATCTTGTGCGCTGTCAACAAAATCTCTCCATCCTATAATTTAATTCAGCCTCTTTTATCCTTAATTTTATCTAACAAATCCACAAGTAAGCACTTTAATCTAACAACACAAATTTGTTGTGGTGCACAGGTTTTAGATCTACTTTGGAGCGATCCTTCTCCGCAGCTAGGATGTTCAGCTAACCTTGTTAGAGGAGGAGGCTGCGCATTTGGCCCTGATGTCACAAAACGTATTCTTGAGAGTCAAGGACTTAGATTGCTGATTAGGTCCCATGAATGCAAACCAGATGGCTTTGAGTGGACACATGATGGTCTCGTACTTACGATATTCTCAGCCTCGAATTATTATAGTGAAGGATCAAACCGGGGCGCCTATGTCAAACTCGAAGGCGAAAACGTTGTGCCACGAATAGTTCAATATATTTCTAGTTCAGATAAGGAGAATAGCAAAAGAACCTTGTCTGAAAGGTAACTCACAATAAGGAGTTTTTGTTTATTGGTTTAAAATGAAATATTACTCATATTTAGGATCTTAAGTTTGCAATTTATATGTGCCTATCTGACGAAATATTTCTGTCCAACAGAAATTTTCGTATTTTTAGCTGAAAAAGTTAAAATAACATAAAATTGCTTTAAATTATTTGTATTTTTTCTTTATTTTTGTTTTTTTCGCAATTTATTATATTATCTTATTATGGTTATTATTTTAATATTTATATCAAATTGAATTATTTTTAAAGTTATGAATTTATTTATCAATAAACTTATAGCAAATATCTTTTATCCCCAAAAGTTACCTTCCTATTTATATCAACAATATAAATATGCATAAATACACCGATGCTTC